ATTTCAGCTCAGGTCACGATCCTCAGAGTAGTGAGATCGAGCCCAATGTAGGGCCCCAGGCTGGGTGTGGAGTGCCTGCTTAGGATTCTCTCCCTCTCCTCCCCACTTAAAAACAAAAAAGGTGGAAGGGGAAATGTCAAATATGTAAACATTCATTAATTTATTTAACATTACTGTAGTGATTTTAAGATTGATTCTATATTCTTAAAGATGTTCCTGTTATTTGTTAACTTTTACATTGATGTCACTTACCTTTTTATCCTTGACTTATTTTTAATTTTTACAGATAAAATGGAGAATTTTAGTGAAGAATATGAAAAGAATAGTCACCATATTTACAAAAATGCTGAAGATAGTACTAAGAAACCCAATGCAGAAACAACTGTAGCTTCTGGATACAGAGCTGATGAAATCAAGGAAACAAATGATACTTGGAACTCCCAACTTGGAAAAAGGTCAGAATCTCCATCAGAAATATCTCCCATTAAGGGATCTGTAAGAACTGGTTTGTATGAATGGGATAATGATTTTGAAGATATCAGATCAGAAGATTGTATTTTAAGTTTGGATAGTGATCCTCTTTTGGAGATGAAGGATGAGGATTTTAAAAACCGGTTGGAAAATCTAAATGAAGTCATTGAGGAAGACATCGTGCAAAGTGTTCTTAGGCCAAGCAACTGTAGGACGTACTGTAGGGCCAATAAAGCAAAATCCTCACAAGGAGCATCAAATTTTGATAAGCTAATGGACGGCACCAGTCAGGCCTTAGCCAAAGCAAACAGTGAATCAAATAAAGATGGCCTGAATCAGGCAAAGAAAGGCAGTGTAAGTTCTGGGACCAGTTTCAGAGGGACGGTTGGACGGACTAGAGATTACACTGTTTTACATCCATCTTGCTTGTCAGTTTGTAATGTTACCATACAGGATACTATGGAACGTAGCATGGATGAGTTCACTGCATCAACCCCTGCAGATTTGGGAGAAGCTGGCCGTCTAAGAAAAAAGGCAGATATTGCGACTTCTAAGACCACTACTAGATTTCGACCTAGTAATACTAAATCTAAAAAGGATGTTAAACTTGAATTTTTTGGTTTTGAAGATCATGATGAGACAGGAGGTGATGAAGGAGGTTCTGGGAGTTCTAATTACAAAATTAAGTATTTTGGCTTTGATGATCTCAGTGAAAGTGAAGATGATGATGAAGATGACTGTCAAGTGGAAAGAAAGACAAGCAAAAAAAGAACTAAAACAGCTCCATCCCCCTCCTTACAGCCTCCTCCTGAAAGCAATGATAATTCCCAGGACAGTCAGTCTAGTGCTAATAATGCAGGTAAGACTTTAAAAAAAATTATAAGTAAATGCTTTTCAGGTTTAAATCAGTGGCTACTTAGTTTCTGCCTAGATACTTAATTTTAACTTGTTATGTTCAATTTTAATAGAAGTACTGTGTAGGACCATAGATTACATTATCCAGAGGTACAGCATTTTAAATGTTAATAATTAAGTTCCACATTGTAAGGATCAATTTATAGATTGGAGTCTTTCCATATTTGTGTTTTAATTCTGCTGTTAGCACTTGAGAATTTTAAGTGTCTGTGTGTATAGGGGTACTAGACATCTTGATGTTTCAACTTTGAAAATCTAAATGCAATGGAGACTTCGGGTAGATTTTGGACATTTAGGACTACACTGATAATAGATGGTTTGTAATGAGGGAAAAATTAGAAAATTAAAATTGGATAAAAAGCCTTTGTAGTTGGCTCAAAACTGATCAACTAACAAATGTTTAAAGCATTCTCAAGAAATCTTAAGTTTAAGTCTTAATCTTAAAAATCATCTTCTTGAGTTGATTTAATAAAATTGAAAAGGGCTAGTTAAGTATTTATTCCCTCTTAACGGTGAAATTTAATTTGTCTCTTAGATTGTAGGGCCAGTAATGACTAGAGGCTCTCAAGGAGTTGATAGTCTACTGTGAGAGACAAACAAAAGAAGTAGGTTAGCTTTGCTATAATTAAGTCATTACCTGACAAGGGCTTTGTGAAGTGGATTGATTGATGAGTGAGGAAGAGTAAGTGAAAGCCTCTGGGATACAGGGGCTATATTTATATGTATTTAACCAAATACATAGTTTTTCCATATTGGTTTACTTACTAAATAAAGCTTTTGTCCTATTAAGTCATACAAGATGTCATTATGGTGAATTAGAATTCTGGTAGTATTCTTACATATAGATTCCCTTGTACACTGTAAGTCATACTTGAGACTACTGACCATTTTATTATATTTGGCCTAAAAATAGTTTTGTTAGATTAGAGTCACTCTTCAAAACTAGAATTATATGGGAATAGTCCCTAAGGGCTCACTCCTTACTCCCCACTGCAAAAATAAATAAGGGTATTGTCAGAATTCATCTAATGCTGTCTGGAATCTCTTCTGGAGAATTGAAGTTTGCAGCAGCCTTGCTAGTCACATGAGATCTGACTGGGCAGATAGCTTTACAGTTGCTTTCTCTGGAGGATAATAAGTAATGATGCACAAAACCTGAGCTCCTGTCTCCCTGAAGTTTACTTAGCTCTTACTACTAACCTTGATATCAAGTTATCTTAATCAGCAATACAAAATCTGTGGCAGAAATTTACATTTTGAGGTAACATAACTTTTTAAGCACTGAAATGTGAAATCATTAGGCTCCCTTTCAAAAAATTCTTGTTGATACCAAATAAAATTTAAAAATTAGAGACCATTTGATTGATATAGCCAAAGTTGGAATTTGGGTCTTCATATGATGTATGAAATAGCAAATATTTTTAAGGGTTGGGCTAGCAAAAAGCTTTCCTGTTTTTCTTTTTTTGTTTAGGCTAGAAAAAGTACAACCATTTAGCAATTAATCTAATTCTTCGGTTATTTTTGTATGAAGACTCACAAATCATTGAGCTACATTGTACTAGGTCATTTTCTATCTTTTGCCATGAATAGCTGTCTTTTTTTTTTCTTTTTGTTTTGTTTTTTTTTTAATGTGGTTTTTGTAGATGTAAGCAGACATTCTTTGAAGGCCAGCATAATTCAGTATACTTAAGTTCTAGAAAAATGTTAAAGGTGGATACCACCTGATTGTATGTGTGTGTGTGTGTGTGTTTAAACTAGACCATTCTAATATCAGTGTCCATAGATACCCAACAGTTGTTTTACTAAAGAATTGATTTTGCCATTTACACAAAATAAAACTGAAGCACATACACAGTAACTAGGTTTCTGATTCTCTCCTAGAGTAGGGAGCAAGCAGGAGGGTGAGAATGGCAAAATGAAACTTTATACTGTTAGGAATATTTTGTCAACTGAGTGGTGCTTTTATTCCTTTTATTCTTTTCCCCCACAATATGCCACACCCCCAAATGTTCATAGGTTGTTTCGTAGATAATTTGAAGTATTAGAAAGCTAGCTAGTTTTGATTACCATTTCAGAAAACTTGGATTTTACAGAGGACTTGCCTGGTGTGCCTGAAAGTGTGAAGAAGCCCCCAAATAAACAAGGAGATAAATCAAAAGAAAACACCAGAAAGATTTTTAGTGGTCCCAAACGGGTAAGTAAAGCATTGTCAGTGCTTTGTATTACTTATTTTTATTGGAGGGTGCAACTCAAACTTTTTTATTTGAAAATTACTAACAAATTTTTCTTTTAAAGGATGTAAGTCAATTTTTTAAGCATTGTAACCATTTTTTGAAGTGTGCAAAAATATGCCTAACATAATTTTTATTATATGTACGGTTCAGTAACATTAAATACATTCACAGTATTTTGTAACCATCCCATTATCTATATCCAAAACATTTAATCATTTCCAGCAAAAACTCTGTACCCTTTGAACAATAACTCCCCCTTTGTCCTCCCAGCCCCAACTCCTGGTAAACACTGTTCTGTTTGTCTCTATGAATTTGCCTGTTCTGGTTACCTCATATAAGTGGAATCATACAATACTTACCTATCTGTGTCTGGCTTATTTCACTAAGAATAATATTGTCAGGCTCCATCTGTATTATAGCACATATCAAAATTTCATTCCTTTTTTTATGGCCGAAATACATTACATTGTGTGTATATACTGTATTTGTTGTTGTTCAGGGGTATTTTATTGATGAGAAGACCAGACTCTGCCATCCACTGGTACAACTCCTCTATTAGGTGGTATAAATATATTGAAAGTTACTGTTTGTATTAGTTTAAGCCATAAACTGGCTGACTTAAAGCATACTTATTCTGTTACAGTTCTGCATTCCAGAAATCCAAGTCAAGATGTTGGGAAGCCTGTGCTTTCTCAAAGCCTCTAGGGGGAAATCTTTTCTTGCCTCTTCCAGTTTCTGGTGGCTCCAGGTGTTCTTTGGCTTGTGCTGCATAACTTGCAGTGTCTGCCTCTGTACATGGCCTTCTCTCTCTTTCCCTGTGTCTTCTTTTAGACGGACACTTTGTGTATATCACATTTTGTTTATTCATCATTAGGGTTGTTTTCACCTTTTGGCTATTTGAGTCCCTGCTTTCAGTACTTTTGGATATCTACCTAAGAGTAGAAGTTTTGAGACATAGGGTAGGTCTTTGTTTAACTGTCAAACTCTTTTCCACCTTAACTGAACCATTTTACATTTCCACCAGCAATGCACGAGGGTTCCATTTTCTCCACGTCCTCACCGACACTTAACTTTCTGCGGTTTGTTTTGTTTCGTTTTTTGTTTTTGTTTGTTTTTAAAGATTTCTGTATTTATTTGAGAGAGACAGTAAGCACACGCGTGTGTGCGGGAAGGAGCAGAAAGAGTGAGACAAGCGGACTCCCCACTGAGCGGCGAGCCTGATGCAGGGCTCCATTCCAGGACCCTGAGATTATGACCTGAGCCAAAACTAAGAGTCAGACTCTTAACTGACTGAACCACCCAGGTGCCCTGTTTTTGTTTTTTTTAAATAGCTCCCATGCCCTGTGTGGAGCCCAACGTAGGGCTTGAACTCATGACCCTGAGATCAAGACCTCAGCTGACATTAAGTTGGAGCTTAACAAGCTGAGCCACCCAGGCGCCCGTGTTTTGTTTTGTTTTTTTTTAATAGCTCTTCTAGTGGGTATGCAGTGGTATCTCATTGTGGTTTGATTTGCATTTCCCTGACTAGTGATGTCGAGCAACTTTTTCTGTACTTATTGGTCATTTGTGTATCTTTTTTAGAGAAATATCTATTCAAGTCCTTTGTGCATATTTGAGTTGAGTTGTTTATCTTTTGTTGAGTTATAGGAGTTCTTTACATATTCTAGATATTAATTTCCTATTAGATAAATAATTTGCACATAGATCCCTCATTCTGTGACTTGTCTCTTCATTCTCTTGATAGTGTGCTTTGATTCACAAGTTTTTAATGTCAGTGAAGTCCTAATTTTTTTCTTTTGTTGCCAGAAAATCCTTGCCAAGTCAGATGTCATATGGCTTTTCTCTTATGTTTTCTCCTAGTGGTTTTATAGTTTTAGGTCTTACATTTAAGTCTTCCATCCATTTTGAGTTAATTTTTGTATATGGTATACGTTAAGGGTCCAGCTTCATATACATTGTGTAAGTCATTTGAATATGGTCCAGCAGGGTATTCAGAATAATTTGCTTGACTTTACCTGTTCATTAAAAAAAATTCTTCATGAGCACCGGGGTGGCTCAGTCAGTTAAGCGGCTTCCCTCTGCTCGGGTCATGATCCCAGGGTCCTGGGATTGAGCCCCACATCAGGCTCCTTGCTCAGCAGGGAGCCTGCTTCTCCCTCTGCCCGCCGTTCCCCCTGCTTGTGCTTGTTCTCCCCCCCCCAATGTGTCAGATAAAAAAAGAAATCTTTAAAAAAATTACTTATATAACTTGTTATGTGTTAAATAATTTTGTTATTAAAAGGTAGTTATAGGACGCTGGGTGGCTCAGTCGGTTAAGCATCTGCCTTCAGCTCAGGTCATGATCTCAGGGTCCTGGGATCGAGCTCCGCGTTGGGCTCCTTGCTCAGCGGGGAGCCTGTTTCTCCCTCTGCCTGCTGCTCCCCCTGCTTGTGCTCTCTCTCTGACAAATAAATAAATATTAAAAAAATAAATAAATAAAAGGTAGTTACAAGTTGTCAACACCAAAGCAGATGGATCTACTTTTAAACAGCTAAAGAATAAGCATGTCCAAGAATGAATAAGGCCAAGTCTTACAGCCTCATTTTATTTTTATTCTTTTATCTAATTGGGACTCATTTCAAAGTAATTGTGCTATACTTTTGTACCCCCATGTGCCCACCCCTCACCAAAAAAAAAAAAAGTGCTTAATGCTAATTTCAATAAACTTAAGATTGCCCTGGGGCGAGGAGCCAGGGCCATGTGGACTATAGTCTGTATGGACTATATAACTGTAGTCATTAGTGCTTAGGTGAGGTTTTTGGTGTATATGAAATTGTGTATGGCATATATTGATTTCCAGAGCAATAGTTACCAATTTCTTTGGTCTCAGGATCACTTTACAATCTTTAAAAATTTACTGAGAATCACAGATAGCTTATTTATTTATTTAATTTTTAAGACTTTATTTATTTGACACAGAGCGAGTCCACAAGCAGGGGGAGTGGGAGAGGGAGAAGCAGGCTCCCAGCTGAGCAAGGAGCCCAATGCAGGACTCAGTCCTAGGACCCTGGGATCATGACCTGAGCCGAAGGCAGACGCTTAACTGACTGAGCCCATCCAGGCACCCCCTTCCAAAGAACTTTTTTTTTTTTTAAGGTTTTATTTATTCATTTGAGACACAGAGATAGAGAGAGAGAGCATGAGCAGGGGAAGAGGCAGAGGGAGAGGGAGAAGCAGGCTACCCGCTGAGCCAGGACCCTGATGTGGGGCTTGATCCCAGGACCCTGGGATCATTACCTGAGCCGAAGGCAGACGCTTAACCATCTGAGCCACCCAGGTGCCTACCCAGAGAACTTTTTTTTATTTTTTTAAAGATTTTATTTATTTATTTGAGAGAGAATGAGAGAGAGCACATGAGAGGGGGGAGGGTCAGAGGGAGAAGCAGACTCCCCGCCAAGCAGGGAGCCCGATGCGGGACTCGATCCTGGGACTCCAGGATCGTGACCTGAGCCGAAGGCAGTCGCTTAACCAACTGAGCCACCCAGGCGCCCCCAAAGAACTTTTTTTTAAAGAACTTTTGATTATATGTGCAGATGTATCAATATTTATCAAATTAGAAGTGAAAACACATTTTAAAAATATATATATTAATTCACCTAAAACAATAACCCATTACATGTTAATATGATATTTTATGAAAATTACTTTCTCAAAGTAGTGAGAAGAATAACATTGCAAATCGCTTAATGAGGGGCGCCTGGGTGGCTCAGTCATTGAGCTTCTGCCTTCGGCTTGGGTCATGGTCCCAGAGTCCTGGGATCAAGCCCCGCATCGGGTTCCCTGCTCGGCGGGGAGCCTGCTTCTCCCTCTTCCACTCCCCCTGCTTGTGTTCCTGCTCTTGCTGTCTCTCTCTCTGTCAAATAAATAAATAAAATCTTAAAAAAAAAAAAAAGTTTGGCTCAATGAAAGACAGCTGGATTCTCATAGCTCCTGCATTCAATATATTTCATTATGCTGTTGTGGTTGAAATATATGAAGAAAATGCAGCCTCACAGGTATGTAGATTTATTTTATTATTATTTTTTTAAAGATTTTATTTATTTGACATAGAGCGAGAGCAGGAACACAAGCAGGGGGAGTGGGAGAAGCAGGCTTCCCTCCGAGCAGGGAGCCCAATGCGGGGCTCAATCCCAGGACCCCGGGATCATGACCTGAGCCAAAGGCAGATGCTAACTGACCGAGCCACCCAGGCATCCCAAAAGTTGAAGTTTTTTCATTGGCAGAAAATACTTCAAGGAAAATGACTGGCAGTGATAGGCCCACTTTGTACATTTTTTGAGAAAATGTCTGCCTAAAACCCAAGTCTGTATAAGAAGCATAGTTTGTCAGTTAGTCTTTCAAGTAAAGATTGGTGTTCCAGACAAAAAGTGAGTAGTTCAGTTTGCAACTTGAGCAGTTACATATTTTTCTTTGATATAACCACTGTACTTTGTATGCAAAAGAACTGTTTTATGCATACTTTTTTGTCACACAGAATATTAGTGCATTTGATGGTTGTCATTTAATAAAATGAGTAATTTTTACTCCTTTTTAAAGGGCTTTTTCTTATATGAAAGTGGCAGTTTATTTTTTTTCTGTGAAGTATATGGCAGTAAAAAATATGACTACTTACACAGTTTGGACCTCCCTATCTTGATTCATGTTAAGTCACCAACAGCTTTATCCATTATTTTTTTTTTTTAACTAATTTTTTAAAATTATTATTAAGATAAAGTGTATTATTTGTTTCAGGGGTACAGGTCTGTGATTCATCAGTCTTACACAATACACAGTGCTCACCACAACACATATCCTCCCCCGTGTCCATCACCCAGCCACCCCATCTCTCCCACCCCCCTCCACTCCAGCAACCCTCTGTTTCCTGAGATTAGTAGTCTCTTATGGTTTATCTCCCTCTCTGGTTTCATCTTGTTTCATTTTT